AGTTAGGCCATTATGCTACATTCAATCTTTAGGAAGCTGATCAAGAGTACTTCACTTGGTCTACGGAATCAGGGCCTTAAGCTATCAACTGCAAATTATAGAGAAGTATGAAAAAAAAATCGAATAAAATATTTATTGCGTGAGAGGTGTATATCAATAGGTTGAATAAATTTGCCACTTGAAGTAGCACAATTTTAGTTTTCAATCGCTGTACGTTCCGGTTCAAGTCCTGACTAAAAGATTTAAAATCGATATTTCATTAATACTTTTTTTAACAATAATTTTACGTGTTAGCGTTGAAATAACATTACGGGAAAGGGGGGGGGGGCGGAAAGCCGGGCCAGCGTCTAAAATCGACCATATCTTTTAATTAACTTGCAATTGCGAGTTTTTATTGTTATCAAATATGGTCAACATTAATGTTTTTTTTTGTTTAAATTTGGGGGGGGGGGGGTTTCCGTTAGGGGAAATTTGAAAAAAATTTTTGGGAAAAAAGGATTTCTCTTTAAATTATCTAAAATCCACATTAAAACATAAAAATATGAATCTAGCAAACAATAAATAAATGATTCCTGGATTAGCAAATCGAAAATTAATTTTCAATTAAAATATATTTTGTTACCTAAAAAAAATATATTAAAACACACATAAAGTAAAAACCGATTAGGACTTGAAAAAATTCAAGACAGGACTTGAACCGGCACCCTCATGGTTCCGTTCTGTTGCTATACCAATTGAGCTACCGAGTCCTACACGTCATCGTAGAATTTTTCTTAATCCTGTCCGAGTCTTAAATTATAAGGTGTAAGTTTATTTTTAATTTATATAGTGCCACTATGTGCGATAACATGTGAAAAATATCCGAATAACTCCGAAGTCAAATCAACTTGATCAGCTAAGTCAAAAGTCCAAAATAAACACATGGAACCGCGGAATGGAACTATTCTTCATAAAAGCTTTTCAACACGAGTCATTCTCTTTTCTCTCGTCATTTATAGATTTACGCCTTTAAAAGAACGCCACTCACGACCCATTGTTCCAATATCGTACGTCGGAAACATGCGTGGACTCAGCATCGCTTTTGTTTACTGAATATACGTATTTTTTTGCGGAAATTAGCTCTACTTAAATAGTTTCTGAAGGGGAGTACTGTACCAAATACTGTCTGTAGTTTACGCGAGTAGTACACATATAAATAAAATACTTTTAACGGTTTAAAACGCGTTTGAAACGGAAGTGTTTTATTTAATGCTGTAATCGACATCCAAAACTTCGAGTTGTGATTAAAATAAATACTAAATAAGATAACTAATAACATATTTCTTGTTTTAAACCGTTAAAAGTGTTTTATTTAGTCTAATACGGTTGAGACCGACATTACTGTTGGAGGCTTTGTTGTTTTGACCCGTTACATCAATAGCTTCCATGAAATTTTAAAGCTACTTCATAAAAATTTAAGTACTGCAAAATGTCATATATATGTTGCTTATAATAGTTTAATAGTAATATTATAAAGATAATTAAAATAATTATTAATTTAGCTATAAAGTTGTTTTACATAAAGGAACTTAATCCAAAGCTATATCCTCGTCTCTCCTAGAGGAAGTGAAAATATATAGAGAGACTAGACACATGAATGAAACATATACTTACGTTGTAATAGACACAGTAGCCGACAATATCGACCGACTCAACTATAACGAACTGTACAAAGTTTTATAACAAAACGTCCATACAGCTTGCAGAAAAATTCAACAGTTGGGTAAAACTTTGTGGTCCATGTTACTCGCTCTTCGGGTCGTAGATGGAAATAGATTAAAAAGTAGAACACGCGTTTTAAACCGTTTAAAGTGTTTTATATAAAGTGCAATTAATAATAAAAGATAAACAAGAAGTAAAGTGAAAATCAGGCAAGTGCAATTTTGACTAACGTACTTATAAAACCGTCAAAACACTGTGTTAAAATGTGTTTAAATGATCTAAAAAATGTTCTTTACATTATATGTCTATCTTTGAAGATTAACTCGTAAGAACGACGGGGCGTGACCGACGTCGTGGGCAGCTTAAATTTATCAAGAGGAAGGTGGTTTGCAAAAACAAATTTAGTTGCCTAAAATAACTATTCCACTCGGACGAAGTCGCATTGGTGACCGATAGCCAGTACCGATCATTTCGCAAATGGAAAGAAATAAATTTCTCTACCGTTGGTGTGGCTAAGTTTTATCGTAACAAATCACGCGAGCTCAAACATTTGAGCTCCATTTATCTTTATTTTTCTCGACTCTACTTTCATTAAGGTTTATTTATGAAAGGGAGAGGTTCGGACGAGGTAGGCATTTCGTCTATTTTAATCAAAGAACTTAAACACTTCTGTAGTTAAATGGTCACACGTGTTGCCTTGTATTATATTAAGCGCTAAAGGTCCTGGGTTCGAAATCGGGGGGAAACAATATATGGATTCGGTCAGCCAGGGCACAAAAGACAGATCAACTACGTGCCTGTTAATCAGTTAAACGGTAATAAATATGTTCGCCCCATGCCCCACGGGCGGTTTCACACAAACGGGGTTTCACACAGTCAAAGAAATCATTAACGAGCGGTGTTGATAGTTCTATTCTTAGCCGTGCACACAAATCCGCCTTTTTTAAGACTTCTAAGGATAGTTTGTTTTAAATATGTAGTTATCAGTTTTTTTATGGCAGGTGAAATACCCCAGACATATAAATTCTAACACGATGCGCTGTCGGCTTATTTTGGCTTTGGATATTCGAAAATGCACAGACTGAAACCAACACGCATTTAAACTTCACGGCTTTTTTGTCTATGTACAGTGGTTCGTGACCCGTACAGTATTTTCAATATTCACTACCGCCCCCTTACCCATATTTCCAAACTAAGTCCAACATGTATTAGAAAAATTATAAATCTATTTAAATAAAACACTTCAACGGTTTGAAACGCGATATATTAGTTAAACTTATTTGAAAGTGAATTTTAACTTCAGCCCGACGTTTCGGATGCTTTGCAGCAGCCGTGTTCACGAGGAGACAGAACTTAATTTTCAAATAAGTTTAACTAATATATCGCGGTTTAAACCGTTAAAGTGTTTTATTTAAATGTGTACTACTCGCGTAAACTATAGACATTATTATAAATCTATACAAAATATGTTAAATCCGGCGGGGAATGAACCAACAAGCCAATCAATATTAATGCTTATGCCTACCTACTACAATCGTTAAGTAAAAAAACGTAAATCTCTTTGTACCACAAAAATTGTGGCGTTACCACGAAATAACTTTAAAACTATTATTCCAATCTATACTAATATTATAAAGCTGAAGAGTTTGTTTGTTTGTTTATTTGAACGCGCTAATCTCAGAAATTACTGGTTCCAATTGAAAAACTGTTTTGTGTTGGTTGATCGAGGAAGGTTATTGGCTATACTACATAAGGCTGCATCCATTAGGAGTAAAGAAATATAGGGTATTATGGACAAAAAGGGGAAAATTATTCACCTTTGAGGGTTTCCGATGTATTAAAAAAATGTCCGCGACAGTATATGTCAATCTCTTCAGATTACTTCGCAAGAACGACGGATCGCGACCGACATCCTGGGTAACAGCTATAATAAATAAAGATGACGAGGAGGTTCGCAAAAAACAACTTTTGAAGCCCAAAATAACTAATCTACGTTGACGAAGTCGCTGGCACAGCTTGTTAAATTATAATAAACTAAGTGAACATAAAAATTAACATAATTAACTAGTTTTATGTGAGTTTTAAAAGGGAATAGCGTGCTAAAAGGCGATAGTAGCAAGTACTAGCTTAGTTTGGTCGATAATGTACTTAGTTTAGGCCTTAGCAGCGAACAACCTAAATTCTAGTATAGTAGCATGGATTATAATCAACGGGGCTTGGGTTCGACCCCCACTGGGTCCAGTAGTGTTTCTAATTATTAAATTTATAATTTTTCTGAAACATGTTGGACTTCGTCTGGATATCTGGATATTAATCTGGTAGGAATATCGACATTCCGTCCGGGTCACGGGTCACGATCCACCGTTCACAGGTGAGAAAGCCGTGAAATCGTTTAATCGTGTTTTTCAGTCTGTGGATTTCCGAATATCCAAGCGAAAACAGGTCGACAGTACATCTTGTGTAGATCAAGTGAAACACATGCCTGTTTGTTCTCCTCTATCATAAGAAATCTAAAATATTCACTAGTCTCCTAATAGTTCCCACAGCTGATTTGTGCCTCGGGTACATAGGCCTTATCTACTCTTCGGCTTTTTGTGTAAAAAGCACTTGAAATATTTTGTTATAGAAAGAAAATGTTTCTTTCACTCGATCTGTAGTTAATGCGAGTTGTACATAATTAAATAAAACAGGTTTAACGGTTTAATACGTAAAATATATTCGTTAACTTATTTACAATTTATTGTGGTGAAATTGTTAATATTAAAAAAGTTCAACTTATTTTATTATTTAGGATTACCCTGTTATATTTTTAATTTTTACAGCCTGTGCGGCGCGAAACATTCTAGGTTCAGATTTTTTTGGAAATTTGTTAAATAAGTAATCGGGCATTGGGCAAGAGTTAATCAAGTTGTCTGTAAATAGTTGTTTGTATGAATTTGGGGTTATTGTTTTGAACAATGAATGAATTTATTTGAAAATTATTTTTAACTTCGCCGCTTTTGCTTTGAGCAGCCGTGGTCACGGGGAGACTGCTTTTTTTTTCAAAGTTTTAAAGTTCTTTCAAACAAGAAGTCTTGAGAATTCTGAACTCAAGCATCTCATAGTTTATACGAGTGGTACACTAATATTTCGTGTTTTAAACCGTCAAAACTGTTTTAATTTATGATAGTAAACATTTAATTGCTTTTCTCTCTTTTCAGGTAAACAAGTCCTAAAACCTACAATGTTATAGTTGTGACTCATACGTATTACATAGTGAGTGAATTTAGTACTTATAGTGAATACAAATAAGTGTCAAAATGGGTTGCAATACCAGTTCCGATGCCAAATCGAATAAAGAAGAGAAAGATACACAAGAGAACCAGGCAAACTCAGCTACAGGTATGTTAAATAATTATATCAACTGGGGATTTATACATTACTATTTCTATATAAAAAGTTTAGTATAACAGCTTTGAGGGGGTCGTTGGTCTATATGGAGTCGTGAGCCTCACCCATCCGAACATGTTTATAATTAATTCATAATTTCCCAAACATGTCAGTCTTCCCCTAGAAATCTTAAATGGATGGGAAAATCGAAAATTCCGTCCGGGGCGCGAACCACTGTCGACAGATGATAAAGCCATTCAGTCTGTGGATTGCTGAATATACAAAGCCACAATGTGGTCAAGATTTTATATGCTGGAGTATTTCGCTTAAGTACTTCTTCTTACGTTCTTCATTCATGCCCTGTCTAAATACACATCCAATACTATTCAGTATTTAATATACTTATGTATACTAATATCCAACTTGTACTGTACTAGTCTACAAGTTGACATGTTTTAATATTGCACCTAAATAATTATATTCTAAGTAAAATAGAAAGTTGTTTGTTAGAATATTTGAACTTGAACATTTGACTTCGCAGATAAGTAGATAATCTTTTCTGTGATAAATCAGGGATGCTCAGGGTTGTGCTGTAAAAGTTTCTCAGTTTATTATTCTGGGTGATATTAATATTTATTTTTTCATGGCAAGCATTTTCGATCTTTCGATCGATGTATGTGCCTATTAAATTTACAAATAAAGACAAGCAGTGACTGTTTCAGAATTACAATAGATACGTGTAATATTAAATCTTTAATTGCGACTTATATTATGTGCGTACGTATTGAATACAGCAAAGAAAGCTTTATTCTATTTCTTCAATAGGGCTAAGCGGGTGTCAACAATCCCCAATTACCTACCGCCATTTTTTAACTTAAAGGAGTATTAAATGATTACTCATATGTATTTTATTTAGTTATCGCATTTCAGGAAACAGCCCCTCAAGATGAACAATTTTCCCCTTTTTTTCAATACTTTTAAGGTGTAAGAAAAGTCTACAACAAAAAAAAAATTTAATTCGAAAAAATTCAAATTGCGAGTTCAAACAAACACACTTAAATAAATACTTCTATAGTTTACGCGAGTAGTACACATTTAAATAAAACACTTTAAGGTTTAAAACCGATATATTAGTTAATATTTGAAAAATTTATTGCCCACTTTGAATAATTCAAAATTAACTAATATATCACTTTAAACCTTAAAGTTAAAAAAAAAGTATAGATCGTGCCATTTTTGTATGAATCATTGTCTAATTTAACTTTAGTACCCATTATACACATTAAAGTTTTTTTTGTGCCAACCCTAGAGTTGTTATCGTGTTTTTGTGAGAGCACAAAGTTACATTATACGAGAGTAGGAGCCATACTGTCTGACACTAAGCTGAAAATACTCGGCCCAAGTAATGTCAATTTGCTACTTTGTATGAATAACGAGGCTTTAGAACTTTTTCTTTTCACTAAGCATATTTTCATTCATGTTTAATATATAACATAGTTCTTATTATGCTAATATACAATTATATTTATTAATTTACTATATTTGTCGAGATTAGACGTCATAATTCTTCAGCCCTAATCTCCGCCTGAAAATCAGTGTAGTGACTTTGCTGAAGGCAATTTGCCACCTGAAACCTTCAGTAGGTTTCAATACTTTATTTTTGTAAGTTAAATTTAATCGGTATTTAAATAATGATATCAAAAACAAATGGGGGTTAGTTAGATTTAGGAATTTGATAAATTTAAATAAAACACTTTAACGGTTTAAAACGCGATATATTAGTTAAACTTATTTAAGAGAATATGAATTTAAAAACTTGCGAGGTACCTTGCCCGCCGTTTGCGAGCATTGCCTAATATTGTCGGGTGCCGCAGCCTTGGTCACGCGGATATTACCCACTTTATAAAGCGATAAAGTAATATATAATATGAACCCGACATCTCAAAACAAAGGATTTCTGAAATGCGTTTTCACAGCAACAAACGCGACCAAGACTCTAAGATGTATACTTACGGAGTTAAAAAAAAAAAAAAAAAAAAACCCCCCATGGGGTATTATAAATTAAAATTTTTTTTTTAAAAAAAAAAAAAAAAAAGGGGGGGGGGAAAAAAAATAATTTAAATTTTTTTTTTTTTTTTTTTAACTATTGCTTTGCAGCATCCGTGGTCGCGGGGATACTTTGGCATCATTTTCCTTCAAATTTAATTTAATCTATATGTATTAATTTTTTTATTGCAATAACATATATTTCTTTCTAGCATTGGACTTAATGAATGCCAAACAAAGCTGATTTATTATAATTGAAAGGTTTATGGTAGTCTTTTGTCATGTACGATGAGGCATTTGGTACCTACTACATAATTTAATGATACCGCTTTTGATGCGGTTTTTAAATGCTTTTTTATCTTTATTTTTAACTGGACGCAAAGAGATTTGGCTAGATTGTGTTGGACTATTAATTTCTGACTTGTCATATAAACCGCAGCTCAACTCCGCCTAGAAATGAATCGAGCAATAAAAATAAGTAAATAGAGAACGCCGCGAGCAGACAGAATAGAAAAGAGGTTCTTTAACCCCCAGTAATTTGTAGTGTTGCCAGTTTTGTGTGAAAACATTATTAAATACGACTACATTATTATTTTGTGATAATTATATCTAATATTGTATGAAAGTAATTACAATTTACGAAGTACAGTCTGTAGTTTAAGCGAGTAGTACACATTTATCTAAAACACTTTTAACGGTTTGAGCACACTTAGTCTATTAGTGAAACTTATTTATCCTCCGTGATCACGGATGCTTTGCAGCAAGCGTGAGGGAGGAACCATGCATAGATAGGTAGTAGGTACATCTCAGGCCGTAGGTACAATGAAATAAATTGTAACATTTTTAACGGATAAAACTAATACATTTAGCGTTTCATCCGTTAAAAATGTTTTATTTAAATTAATGTATTTGTTGTTATTAATTGCGATAGTTCGATTTCTTATTCCAAAACTTTTTTACGGGTTTTAGGTAGATTTGTAGTATAAGAAAATCAGCTACAAAAATCTTACAAATGATATATTTAAATTAAATTGATTTCAGTATTGAAGATAATTTTGCGATGTTTCCTTTAGTTTTAGGTGGCAAAATTAGTCGTGAAGGTTCCATAAAACGCGACACCCACGTTATTATTAACATTGACTCACTGCGACATCTAGCGAACATGTATAATTGCACTTCCCTACTTTGAGGATGAACGAATTTATTAGTAACGCCAGAGGGCGTTAATCACAGTATGTCCTCAATAAATTTTATTTGTATCTAACGACATCTATTTGAAATATGTGAGACTACAAATAAATATTTATAACTTTATACTGAACTAGACTTGTCAAATATAGATGTCAGTCTGCTAAAGTAGTTGAATATATTCGTAAATTCAATACTAAAATTATTACCTTGAAATTTTGATAAATTCTACATCTCTTCATTATATATAAGGGCTGTGTTACATCAAGGCCTTTAATTATTGTGTACATCTTTGAAACATAGTTAGATAGATTCTGTAGCCATGATTAAGTGAACAACATTTCACATTGTAAAACGGCGTTTCTCATATATCCTCCTTAAATATTAAATAATTTACGTGAATCAACTGTCTAGCTATCGCAGTTTTTCATCTGGTGACAGATAGACAGCGAGCGAAGTAAAAAGTTATTGTAAAAGGGGTATTAAATTTTTAACTGTTTTGACGTTTGTTGTGTGTTTGATTTTTAATTTGAATTTTTTTGAATTCACAATTAAGAACGTTTTAGTACCGTTAAAATAAGGACTCTACATACATTAAAATATTTGCTACGAAAGTTCTACGAAAGTGTTACGAGATAAGTGCAATACATTTTAGAAAACGACGTATTTTTACAATGCCGTTGGGTGCATTAAAATAAACGGCATAAAGTGTTCCACTTAGGATGTTATCCGTGTTATAGAACAACCAATTATGTATTATCCCTGGTATAAATAAAAAGGAGGAGAAGTAGTGTGGTGGAATTAAAATTATGAATAGTAAATCAAGCATATATAAGAACATCTGATACAAACAAGATGAATCTGCTAGGAATTGAAGTCTCGACCTATCTCTTATTACATTGCTTAAGCCAAGCGTGATTAGAAAATTTTAAAATTAGAATTCTTTGTTACCACATTCAACCTTTGAAATGTTCATGTAAAAAAACAAGAACAATACAGGCGTTTATATTTACAACTGACAATTATTTCCGTTTAATAAAAACAATTACATGAAACTACAAGCTATAAAAGTACCAACTCCTACCGCAACCCTCCATAAAGTTTCAAGTACACTACGACATTTACTCCCGCAAACAAAGGATGTTTATTTTATGGCGGCTTGAATGCGTTGTTCAGAATCCGTTTTTTATTGTTAGATTTCATCTCGCCACGCGTCTTTAAACTTGTCATGTTTTAAACAATTGGCGAAAGTAGTAAAAATAATAAAAAAACGGTTTTAACTGTTTAACATATATAACAGACATGAATATTCATTTATTCTAACTCCGACACGACGTTTCGAAAATCGTTAAAAGTGTTTTATGTAATCTATTTAATTATTAATTATTAGTACACTATGTTCGTAAAGACATACATTTATTTCAGCTATAATTAAAACACAGTTTTAATATTAAAAAACTAATAATTCGTATTCACTTTTTCAAACATTCGGCTTTTAACAAATATATTCGATATCGATATAAACTAGAAAATTACAAATTACAAAGCTATTTCTCAAAAGAATTTAAGCTTTATTTTTGTATCTAAAGGCAATGCCGACGTCGTTTTTTGCCCAGTGTAATCACAGCCTTACGATATCCCTACCCGTACGCCGACGGCACAGTACCCGCGCTCGTCCCACCAACTAGACGTCACCTGACGTCGCATTCCCCCCCGAGTCCCCTAAATCAGTAACAGTGGATTTACTAAGGAAATACCTGAAAATAGTCGAGGACAAACTTTTTCCGGGTGAGTCTTATTTATATTTATGCTATTTATTTCAAGATATCTCGGGAAATTTCGTAAAATCTTGAAAGTATTGAACCAACGATGAAGTAAATTTTAACAGCTGAAGTACTTATTGTGTTAATTAGAAAATAAAAGAAAATCTAACTCATATAATTAAAATTTACAACCACACATAATAATTCAAATACGTTTTGTTCATATAATATATATAATAAAATATAGTAACTACATCTTAATACCCTCTGTAGTTTACGTGAGTAGTACACATTTAAATAAAACACTTTAACAGTTTAAACCGCGATATATGTTAGTTAAACTTATTTGAAAATTATTTTAACTACGGCCCGAGGTTTCCCCGTGACCACGGGTGCTGCAAGGCATCCGAAATGTCGGGCCGTAGGTAAAGAAATTTTCAAATAAGTTTACCTAATATATATCGCGTTTTAAACTGTTAAAATGTTTTATTTAAATAACTACAACTAGATTTATTTTTATTTTATTTATAGATATCCTTACAGTTAATAATATATTTTCAAATTAGACAGAAAATAACACCAAAGTATACAATAAATCTATGAGAAGATTTATAATATGTTACTTAGGATTACGCGTTAATAATTAAATATGTAAGATTATTTAATAACAAAAAACTAATATAATATAATCTAACATATATAATATTTTTATATTTAAGTACCAGATAAAACCCGCGTCTGCTTTATGAACCTACATATAGATCTAGAATTAAAATTAACGAAGGCACATTCCCACACTGAATTCATTATATTATCTCGTTTAAAACAACACCGAGCTCAAATTATTACGAAGCATTTATAATCGCGAACCAAAAAATACATATATATCGAATGAGATATATTTTTTGGTAATTATGGTTTTACGAACATCAATTAAAAATTTTAATGTTACTATTATACATTACTATAGCTAGCTAGTATAATCTACGGGTCGTAGATTCGATCCCCACCGAGTCTAACATGTTTGTAATAAATTTTTTTTTCTCAAACATAATATATATAATACATAATAGGATATCGAAAAGCCGTGAAGATTAGTCGCGTTTCGGTTTATAGGCTAAAATAGGTCGATGGCGCATTTAGGTTAGATGTTGTATAGTCCTTCCGTCAGGTAAACTCCATGTTGTTAAATTTAAAAATATGTTAGCCTATCTCAACTAATATACTCATAAATAATATATTAGTTATTTGAATATAGAAAAATATTTATATTAAAAAAAAAAACGGGCGGGACCCTCGACTACAGCATACACATTAGGCCCGTATCGGTCGAGCGTTGTATATAACGTGAAGCAGCTAGACGCAGAAATATGTCTGTTTTAAAGTGCGGTAAATTTTTTTGGTACTACTGCATATAAGACAAGAAAAGAGTGGTAGCGACTGGACTGGTAGTATATTTACAAGTAGAAACTTTTATAGCAAAGGCTTATAACGGTTTTAAATGCGAAATATATTAGTTAACTTGTTGTGGAAGAACCGTGCCCCCTGACTAGAGCTTCTGCAAAGTATCCGAAACATTGGGCTGTAAATAAAAGATTTTTTAACACGTTATTTATCTCGCGTTTTAAACCGTTAAAGTGTTTCCTGAATAAGTACAACTTGCGTAAATTACAGCCAATAAATAGATTTTGTTTTGAATTTAAATTGTATTGATACTCAATAGTACTTAGTTACGTACAGGAGTAAATGGTTTGAGTTCAAGAGAAAACTATAATCTTTTCTAAATATAGTCTGGCGTATAAGTCTATGGCCTTAGCGGAAAGATTGATTGCACTGCAGTCCTTTTCACAAATACAAGCAATGGCGTGAATTGGCCCACGCGGAATAGAGTTCTACGAGAATTTCCCCCATAAATTTCAACTAAATGCTCAAACGTTTAGTGGGGAAAAATTTAAATTCAAGAATTTGTGGCGAATGCTATAACGCGTTGCCTTAGAAGTGAAAATAAAACTACTACTTACTAACATTCATCATCATGGTTTAATAGTGATTCGTGCCACACAGTGTCGCACGTTCGAATCCAGTCGCATTCAAACTTACGTACTCGTTTGTACAATGGCAACGGCTATTAAGTGACTAGACGTGAGTTCGATTTTCATCAGGTCTAATAAGTAACTTACATAAGTATGTTATAAAGCCGTGAAGTGTTTTGCGAAAGAAAGCATGATTTATTTGCAATCATAAAAAAATTAGTTCGTGACAAAAGTTTTGGTTACCAGTACGTGGATATTTGAATGTCAAAAGTCGACACCACATCTTATTTACCTGTTTAGGGGTGGCCGTTTCACGTTATTTTTAGATAGTTTATCGTGCGTATTTTTTTGCATAATTTAAATGGGGTAAAAGATAGGGGCTGTGTAAAGGCTGTTGCGCTTACTATTTTTATTATAATCGATTGAAAGCGTAAAGGTTATGTGGGTATTAATTAGGTTAGAAGTAATTAACCAGGTCCTTTGTGTATATTTGCATAGAGAAGTTATTCCAGGCTTGTAGGGGATAGGGTAGGTTGGCATCAACATTAAATTAATTCTACGGAACTTCAAAGTATAATGTTTGCTAACCATCCATCCTACGAAACCATATGTAAATAATTGGTGGTAAAGAGTAAAAGCATATAGACAACACCCACATAAACATGAATCTTTATATTGCGAGGGAGCGAAGCCATATTTTCATTTTTATATCGTATAACAATGTAATCCGTTATGTTTTACATATGATTACACCTTTTCAGAAAATTTGTAATCAATTACAACAAGCTTACATAACAAAATCCGTTCATTTGAAAGGATAACGTAATTAAACTTGCAACTTTTAAAAAGTGCATGTGTGGCAACCCTAATTTTACGGTTTACGAGCAAACTATTTGGGTTAATCTTCATAAAAGCTGGTTCAACTTCTAGGTGCAAATAATTAAAATCTAGCGCAGTTCGTATACTAAGGAAGTTTTGCAACTTAATATATCTACGTGAAAAATAACTGCGCCCTGAGTCATAAGTTTGCAAATGTATACGTCAAAGTGACAATTCTAGTTTGAAAATTATACTTGCAGGTTCTGAAGAGATCTCTCATTCGAATGATTATATTAAAACTGTGACACAGGTGTGACTGTCAGTTGGCGAGGTCATATAAAGTAGGTGGAAATTGTTTTTCAAGGGGTATAAGTTCAAAACAAAGTTGACAGGTTGACAGGAAACATCGAGGGCAATAATTGAGGCCGCTAGAGGCAGAGTAGCCTAACTTCAGTTTAAGACTTTACTTATTTATATTTTAATAGTCTAAAAGTGTTAAGTTACAAGAGCAAAGTGACCGAAAATTATGTTATAAATACTAATTCATTTTCACCTTTTTTTTTGATGGTATGAATGGCTAATGCACGCCCACGTCGGGCAAGTGTGACGTGGGGAGTGCGGTAAATCGTATAGCCGACCAGAACCACTAAACACACCACTAGCCCTCTACGGTGCTAAGGGAGCCCTGGGAATTAATTTTCGCCTAAGTTAGTTGTATATTAATATTTTCCTCCTAAATCTAAGAAAATCATGATTTTTGTTATTAGGCCACTCTGACCTTAGCAGCTTCTTATTTAAATGTTTATATAATATAATCTTAAGAGATTTTCATAGTCAAAATGCACATAGTTTCCCATAACATATAGTTGTATAGCGTCTGTTCAAAGGAATTTATTATGCTATTTGAATTACGACAGTAAACATACATTTGTAGCGTTCTGCTGAATTTACATAAAATATGTTAACCTTTTGCAAGACAAATGTTTTAAATTCTCTCTTCAGTCGTTGGAAATTACCCAAATAAAGTAGAACATTTGTGGGCTATAAACTATATGTATGATATATATTTTTTCTTTTTACACACACCATGAAATCCTCTTTTCCCAAGACAGGGTTTGGAGCGGACAAAGTTAATGACAAATTCGTGCCCCAACCAAACAAAATAATGTGCTATTTGACCCCGGGATTCAAATCTAGATCCTGGTTATGTTGCTACGCTATTCATTTACGCATTAAGCCATAGGTGTAGAGAAATTCAGTGAAACCCCGCTACCCCCGTGGGGCATGGGACGAACACATTTCCCTGACAGTTTCACCTATCCGTTTTATTTAGGCAAGCAGTTGGAATCGGGTTTTCTGTGCCCTGTCCGAGCGGCACAATCTATTGTTTCCCCGTAAACCCAGGACATCTGGCGCTTAACGCAATGCTAGACAACATTTAACCAAATATCAACAGACGCTGTCAAGCCACACGCAAACGTATTACGTAGATTTTTTACAAATATTTTCTTCATTTTCTGTATATTTTAATGATAGAGGATAATAGGCCAGCGTGGGGTTTCACTTGATGGGAAGTAAAATACCAAGGTTATATAATATCTACACAAGATGCGCTGTCAACCCTTTTTGGCTTTGGAAATTCGGATACTTGTACTGTTTACTGGTTGTTACATCCTATTTAATAGAAATATTAGGTTACTCTCCTCTAAATTTAGAGCTTCTAGATAAATCCACAGCTATAGAAAAATTGTTCGAATATACAAACGAATTTTACCTCTCCAAATCTGACGTGCAAGATCAAACATTTTACAGTGAATACTTCCTTTTGGTTTCAACGTGAAGTCTTGTAACCCAATTTCGCGGCTCTTGTTAGCTTGACACACATTTTTTTGGTTGAAAGCGCCGTGCAAATTTTAAGGCAGTGGGGTGGAAACAATTGACGACGCGGGCTCAAATTTCTTTTATGCAACGTGAATTCTATTTGAGTAAATTTTATTTGAGTTTAAGTAAAAATTAACCATACTTATTCATAAATATAATCATTTGACGAGTTAAATAAAATATATCCATACTCGTATATAAAGTCAGCTTTTTATTTGAATGCGCTAACAGGGGGGGGGGGAAAAAAAAAAAAAAAAAAAAAGGGGGGGGGGGGGGGGGGGGGGAAAAAAAA